TTTGATACTTTCATGATGTTGTAATTATATTATCTTTTTGGATGACTGTATAACATTGCTGAAGATGACTCTTTTATAAAATTATGTTTTATATGATGAAAACAATTTATACATTATAGTACATTTATACTCTAGTATATCTGGCCTTTGCTCTATTTTCTTTATTATATATTATTTTATTTTAGTTGTCATATTAGTTGTTGATGTGACAGCTTAAGGCAAATCGTTACAATAGGGACGTTTAGTGTTGGGTTTAGCCCCTTACTAACCAAAAAATATATATATATTAGACACAAATTGTGAAATGGATAATGTATTAAATGTTAGATTAACTAATATGATTTTAAAATATATAATTAAGTATAAATATAAGTATAAATAATTATAAGAAATTGTTTAAAATATTTCCATTTTGAGAGAAAAAATTGGCACCAAAATTTACTTATCATATAAAAAACAAAAAACGTGGAATTTGGCTCCTACAGACTAAAAGGCTGCATTTTAAAAACAATCACACAAAATTAAAATTGTAAATTAAAAAATTAATTATTCAGATTAATTATATATAAATTTTGTTTAATATATATTAATAAAATTTATATACAATTGATTTGAATAATTGATTTTTAATTAATAATTATATTATTATATTTTATTCTCTAAAATATACCTCCTTACTAAAGAGTCAAATTTAAAACTAAATAAAGTAGACACATGTGTCTGAAGAATCTTATTAAAAATATTATATCTAAACATGTATTGCAACAGGATAAATTAATTTAGATATTTGTCAAGTGAGCATCGACAAGATGTCCCAATAACGATGAAATATTTAACTATTTTACCGATTAAAAAGGTTATAGCTGCCAAACTTAATTATAAAAACTTAATGATTAATTTTACATTATGAAAAATAATTTTTAAACAAATTTTCAATATATGTATTTTGCAATATTAAAAATCCTAGAATATATATTTAATACCAATATAATCTTTATATCGATTTTATTTAAATCACAAATATCCTTTATTATTTAATATTTAATGTAACTCTATATTTAGGACATGAACTTAGATCATTATTAAAATTATAATAAATTCATATTAGTTGATTTACGAATTGAGTAATATTTTTTTTATATTTTTTATTTTGATAATCATGATATTATTACAAAATATTTATTATTGAAAATAGTAACTAATTTCTATTAAAAATTGAGTGCATGTTATTTTTTATATTTTTAATAATTATATATGTGATTATCATATTATTAAAAAAATTATTTAGACTATATGTATTCTAAAAACAATCTTGCTCAAATCAAGTAGAACATCAGTCCTAAGATTTCATGGGTCTTAGGCTAACTAATAAATATGAACTCATATATATTTTGATAATCAAATCATTAATACAAAGTATCTATCGATGTAGACTTTACTAATGATTAATTTCTTTTAGAGAATTCAATTAGTTACCATGATACTTTACTTATAAGGATTAAGTCTAATGAGACTCTAACTAACAACTTGTTGACATGAGTCATTGTATATAAATATTTTAAAAATATTTTTTTAACATAAAAATAGATACATGATTTAATTAAAAGTTACATATTTTGTTACATTAAACAAATAACATGTGAATAAATCAAAAACATATTTTACCTTTTATATATGAATATAATACATAAAAAACTAATAATAAAAATAACATGACTTTATAATCATAAAATAATAATCTCACAATTATATAATTTTTCTAAAAAAAAAATTGGGTCCCTCTTAATTATGGGTTTAGAGCGATTGCACCTCTAAACGAGGTCCAGGGCCAACCCTAACAAAATAAGACTATTATGTGCATATATCAAAACCTCCCTTCGAGTATGCAACATAATTACATAGCCAAGGATCAAATTTGAAACTATTGATTAAACTAGATCGATTTTGAGACAATAGATCTATACACTAGGTGATTATTCAATAAGCGAGAGGATGCATTTTAGAAAATAAAGTGCACCCATAATCATTAATTAGAATATCAATAGTGAAAATTGAAATAAAATTAATTACATATAATAATATCAAAAGTTAATTACAATATCAATTATTATTTTTCTAATTAATATTTCATCTGTTTCACATTGACTATAGTTTTAGCATTTGAAAAATGTAAAAAAAATGATGTTTTCATTTTTTAATGTAAATTTTTTTTTCTCTAATTTATCTCTTCATAAATTATTTAACCACTATAATTTAAAATAATATATTTATTAAGAGGATGAATTATTTTTAATAAAATTATATTAAAAATGTTATATATTTATTATTATTCTTAATCTTTAATCATATTAAACAACAATCATGAAAAAAAGAAACTAGTTATTATAGCACTTTATTATTCCACTATAATTGTCCTATGTTTGGTTTTTGGTTATTTACCACCCGTTGTTTCTACATGTATAAAATAGCATAGTTATTATGAACGTAAGTATTTTTATAAACTTTTCTTTAAATAATTTTTTTAACGGTGCTAATATTAAGAATTTTTCTCGGTGTCTTTTCTCTTTCAATATATCATTTTCAATTTTGTTTTTAAATTATATATATTAAAAAAATTATCAATAGTTAAAACTAAAAATATTTATCCATCAAAAATTTTAATTATGATATAATTTATACATTAATGAAACATCAATTTAATTATATCATAAATCTTAATTATATAAAATAAATATGTTAAAATACTAGTTTTTTATTTATTTATGTAAGTTCCTTTTTTTATTATTTTATATCAAAGCTAATAATTACTAATTTCAATCCTACACGCATGCATTAAACCATACTATGACGCGAAAAATAAAAAAAAAAAAAAAAAATCCCCTGCCTGTTTAAACAACAGCATGCTATATCTTTTTTTTTTGTCAAGCTAAGCATGCTTCTTCATAATTGCCAAAAAAAAAAATCATGCACAATAATTCAATCTTTTGCACATAATATGGGGCGTGGAACATTATATAAATATAATTCATATATTACTACTACTCGATGGATCTCTCCAAAGCAAAAGCAAACAAAAATGGAAAAAAAGAAGAATGGAAATTCATGCATGTTAGCAATAAAAACTTCTAGGGTGAGTAGCTATGTTTTGGGTCTAGTATTTGTTTTGGCATTTGCATATCCAAGTGCTTCAAATATTTTTCCTGGATTCATAAAGTGGCATGTGTTCATTGTCGATGATTTGAGCAACAACCAGAATTTGTTATGTCATTGCAAATCCGAAGATGATGATTTGGGCATCCAAACCCTAGCTCAAGGTTCCAATATCACTTGGAGTTTTAGGACAGATTTCACCCACTCAACACTTTTTTGGTGCCATGTGAGAAAGGACAATGCTTCTGCTAGATTTAATGTGTTTTGGTACGATGAACATTTTTTTAAAAAGTGTGATTGGAAGAATTGCATTTGGAGTGTTAGAGATGATGGGATTTACCTAAAAGAAGGTCCTGAAATGAATGACGAGTTGTATTATCATTGGGATGATTGTGGTTGTAATTGTGATTGAAGATGCAATTCTTTTCTCTTTTTTTCTTCATCAAAGCATATTTACTATTCCATATCTTAGTTTCATTATGAACTTATTAGGATTTTATTGTAAATGTAATTTAGGTTTATAATTTTATTATTTATTTTTTTCTTTCAACTTTATCATTTGGCGAAATGTATTGGATTATTATAAATAATAATTTTAAATATGATAAGAACTGGGAATTGTTCTTAATTAGAGGTTGAAGGTCAATTTTCATCTCTCAAAAGAGATTCTAATATGAATCATAAGAGTTTAAATTTGATTGAAGAAAACTAGAAAAGAGCCATTAATGTTCTTTTCAAATTTTCTTTGGACAAACACGAATGCAAAGAATGCAATAGAAATTTAGATGCATCAAATTAGAAAATATTAAAATTAAATTTAATTTTATTTCACCTAGAATTTTTAACATGAGTTTTGATTCAATTTGATTTCTTACTTTGATTTATTGTCATGAGATATTTTGAAAAAACATGTGACTTTTATAAATTTATTGCATGTGTTAATCTTATTTATCCATATTTAAATATATTTTTAATTCTTCAAATTTATAATGTATTTTTTTATCCTTCAAATTTAAAATTTATATTTTTAGTTCCTTAAATTTAAAACTTATATTTTTATTCCCAATATATAT